ATCACTGTACATTGGAGTTTAGGATTTGTGTCAACTCCAGAGGTAGCTGCATTCATACCTGATGAGTTCTTTTTAATCTTAGCAGTTGATTATAGGTTCCATAGTATAGGAAATTTTCCAACCCTCTATTGAATGGCAGTTTAGAAAGGTCGATCTACACTTACCTTACATCAGGTTATTGCAGACCCTTGTGGCATTTTTCCACCCTAGGACATGTGATTTAACTCTAATAGGAATCTTCATTATGGGTGGGTCTGAGATTAACTTTTATTCTGTTAAACAGAAATCATTCCACTGGCCGTAGCTCATTTTTTGAGATGGAGTGGGGGAATAGGTGATAGTAAACAATGATATTAATCTCACTTATTTTTATATTATTATATTTATAGTTACATTGCAAATGGAAGAGTAGAGAAACTAAAAACATATACTGAGAACTTTACAATTTTTCTTCCAAGTATTATTGATTGATGTTTGGATTATGCAAGTGCTGCCAGCCCCTTAGACTCACTCTGCAGTTCCCCCCACGGAAATTTGTAAACAGGTTAGGGTGGGGATAGGGAAAAGTTTGTTCTTTTTGCACTTCTTGGATTATTTGTTCCAGGCTCTCCAAAGTAATGTGTACCGTGGGAATGCAGAAATTATCTGCTTAGATATTCTCTCCCTATATAGGTCCCCACAGGGAGTTCTTGGGCCTGGAGAAGATTCTACTCTCCTTTAGGAGCTTTCTCCATAAAGGTATTGAGCACTGGACACTATATTTGCAAGGGAAAAGAGGAATGTGTCTCTTGAGCATCAAAATCATTGTAGAAGAATCTCCATACTGTTTTTCAAAATGGCTGTACTAATTTACTTTCCTGTCATCTGTAGGTTCCCTTTTCTCCACAAGGGTTCCCTTTTCTTTGCATCCTCACCAACACTTGTTATCATTGGTGTTTTTGATAGTAACCATTCTAACAGTTGGAGGTGATACTTCATTATGATTTTAATTTAAATTTCCCTGATGATTAGTGATACTAAGCTTCTTTCATTATGTCTATTGGCCATTTATATCTCTTCTTTTGAGAAATGTCTGTTCAGATCCTTTGCCCATTTTTTTTTTCCTTTTTCAACTTTTATTTTAGAATTAGGGAGTACATGTGTGGGTTTGTTACAAAGGTATATTGCATGATGCTGAGGTTTGGAGTGCAAATGAATCCATCACCTAGGTAGTGAGCATAGTTCCCAACAGGTAGTTTTTTTCAGCCCTTTTCCCCCTCCCAACCCCACTGTTGTATTCCCCAGCATCTATTGTTCCCATTTTTATGACCATGTGTATCCAATGTTCAGCTTCCATTTATAAGTGACAACATGTGGTATTTGGTTACTACATTAATTCACTTAGGATAATGATTTCCAGCTGCATCCATGTTGGTGCAAAGGAGATGATTTTGTTCTTTTCTATGGCTACATAGTATTCCATGGTGTATATGTACCACATTTAAAAAGTTCAGTCCACCATTGATGGGCACCTGGATTGATTCCATGTCTTTGCTATTGTGAATAGTACTGTGAGGAACATGCAGGTGCATGTGTCTCTTTGGTAGAATGATTTATTGTCCTTTGGGAATACACCCAGTTAGTGGGATTGCTGGGTCGAATGGTAGAATAACTCTCAGTTCTTTGTGAAATTTCCAAACTGCTCTCCACAGTGGCTTATTTAATTTACATTCCCTATGGCAGTATATCAGCCTTCTCTTTTCTTCACAGTCTCACCAATATAGTATGTTTTGATTTTTTAACAAAAGCAATTCTGGCTGGTATGAGATGGCATATCTTGTGGTTTTGATTTGCATTTCTTTGATCCTTAGAGATGATGAACATTTTTTCATATATTTATCAGCCTCTTGTATGTCTTTGAGAAGTGTCTGCTTATGTCCTTTGCCCACTTTTTAATGGGGTTATCTGTTTTTTTCTTGTTGATTTGTAAGTTTCTTATAGATTCTGGATATTAGACCTTTGTTGGATGCATAGTGTGCAAATATTTTCTCCAATTTTGTAGGTTGCCTGTTTATTCCTTTGATTGTTTCTCTTCCTGTGCTTTGTACATTTTTTATTTGGGTTATTTTTTTCTTGCTATTGAGTTGTTTGAGTTCCATATTTTTTTTGGATATTAGCACTCGTTAGATATATGCTTTACAAATATTTTCTCCCAATCTCTGGGTTGTCTCTTGATTCTGTTAATTGTTTGTTTTCTTTGCTGTGCAGAAATTTTTAGTTTCATACAATTCCTCAAAAAACTAAAAATCGAATTGCCATATGATCCAGCAATTCTACTTCTGGATATTTATTGAAAGGTGTTGAAATCAGTATGTTGAAGAGGTATCTGCACTTCTATGTTCATTATAGCATTATTCACAATAGTCAAGATATGGCGTCAACCTAAGTATCCATTGACAGATGAATGGATAAAGAATGAGGTGTATGTACACAAAGGAATACTATTCAGTCTTTAAAAATTGGAAAATTCTGTTATTTGTAACAACATGGATTAATCTGGAAGATACTATGCTGAGTGAAATAAGCCAGGAACAGATAGAGAAATACTATATGATCTCACTTATATGTGGAATCTAAAAAGGTAGGTCTCACAGAAACAGATTGTAAAAAGGTGGCTACTAGAGGCTGGGAGAGGAAGGAAAAGAATGAGGAAAGTGATATATTGATCAAGGTTGTACAAAGTTTCAATGCAACTGGAGTAATAGGTTTTAGTGATCTATCGTACAGAATGGTGATCACAGTTAATAGTAATGTATTTTATATTTTAAAATTACTGAAAGAATAGATATTTAATGTTCTCCCTACAAAAAAACCGGTAAGTTGGTGTATTAGTCCACTTTCACACTGCTATAAGGAACTGCCCAAGTAATTTATAAAGAAAAGAGGTTTTATGGCTCACCGTTCTGCATGGATGGGGAGGCCACAGGAAGCTTACAATCATGGTGAAAGGAAAAGCAGGTATGTCTTACATGGTGGCAGGTAAGAGAGCCTGTGTGTGAAGTGAAGGGAGAAAAGCCCTTTATAAAACCATCAGATCTTGTGTGAGCTCACTCGCTAGCATGAAAACAGCATGGAGGAAATCACCCCTATGATCCAAACACCTTTTGCCCTCAACACATGGGGATTACAGTTCCCTCCCTCGACATGTGGGATTACAATTTGAGTAAGATTTGGGTGGGGACACAGAGCCAAACCTTACCAGTTGGTGAGGTGATGAATATGGTCATTAGCTTGTCTAAATTTGTCCACAATGTATACATAGATCAAAACATCACATTTTACCCCATAAACATGTCCAATTACTATTTTTCAATTAAAAATACATATAAATAGATTAAAAATAATTGCAAAGGAAAGCTGGCTGTGGTGGGAGGCCAAGGTAGGCAGATTACTTGAAGTCAGGAGTTCAAGACAAGCCTGATCAACATGGTAAAACCCTGTATCTACTAAAAATACAAATATTAGCTGGGTGTGGTGGCACATGCCTGTAATCCCAGTTACTCAGGAGACTGAAGCACTAGGATTGCTTGAAACCAGGAGGCAGAGGTTGCAGTGAGCCAAGATCACATCACTGTACTCCAGCCTGAGTGACAGAGTGAGACTCCCTGTCTCAAAAAAGAAAAAAAAAATGTCCTGAAGAGGATGTTACCTAAGGTCACACAGAGATGAGCAACAAAGTAGGAGAACTCAGCATGGAACTCACCACTCTCCCAGGGCAATGATCTTTCTAGACTCCCTGCATGCCTAAATGACTCCCTGGTACCAAGCATAGATAAATAGACTCCCTCAATATTTCAGGGCAATGACATCCAAGAGGGTAGGTTTGCCATGTGCATGAGAGACACTGCCATGCATTGGGAAGGCATGGAATCTTAGAGTCCGGTGGGAAGGTCCTCCGTATACTGGAGGTGCAGAGTGTGAATGCACAAAGGAGTCTGGCAAAGAGAAGATTAATAAATAATGACATTAAGAAATCCAGGTCCTTGGTGAAATTAGAAAAATATACAAAGCTATCCAGGACTTATTTTTCCAAATTCATTAGGCATCCTCTCACCTAGCCCTTTACAATTGCATGGCTTCGGGGATTACACAGAAAACGTTCACAAACATTGCCCCAGTTGATGATCTTGCAATGCAATGAAGTGGGCAGAACAGCTGTGGCTATAGCCATTGCGCAGAGAGAATGTGCTTCATGGATGGCAAGACTGGGACTGTAGGACAGGCTCTCAATCCATTCTACCCTGTTATTGTTCTGAAATGGAAGTTTTATCTCCCAGCTTATATACGTAGCCTTATCTTTGATGCTTCAATATCTGAGACCTGACCAGTGTCCCTTTTAGTGATTGTATGTGTGTGTGTGTGTCATATGCAATTTCCTTATAGCAATGGCATAATGTATAACTGTTTAATTAAAGAAGAGAAATAAATGCCAAACATACGAATAAAGTCTGAGTATATCTGTAACATTAAAAGTGTAGGTGTCTATCTTTGAAGATGTATCTTAAAGACAATGAAAAGAGTCAGTGAGTAAAAGTAAGATAAGAGAGTCCTGGGATTTCATACAAGATCTGTGTTTACTTGATGGTGTATGAACTATAGTTTAACCAATTCCCTAGTGCTGGACATTCAGGTTCTTAATATTTTTTGCCTGTATTTACAGGCACCTTTGACTATTGGACTCATTTTGTTCTTCAGGAACAATATACAAAGTGTGGAAAGAAATGTGTATTTCTAATCATTGGAAAATAAACACTGAGCAGCAATAACTCCAGTAGCCATTTGTTCCAGAGGAGGTAGAATCAGGAAATAGATGGTATGGACTGAACTTGCTTCTCTCTTTAAAAGATTTGACTTCATATTGCCAAATTGCCCTTCTAGATGTCTTTACTCCATCCAACTGCAATTCAAAGGCTTGGATGAGCAATGCCAGGCCTGGCTTGATTATCCCCTTTCTTTCTCAGCCTGTCAGTCCCTGGGAACGGGCATGATGTTGAGTTCCTGGGCCACCTCCTCAATTGAAGAAGTGGCAGAAGCTGGTCCTGAGGCACTTCGTTGGTTGCAACTGTATATCTATAAGGACCGAGAAGTCACCAAGAAGCTGGTGCAGCAGGCAGAGAAGACGGGCTACAAGGCCATATTTGTGACAGTGGACACACCTTACCTGGGCAACCGTCTTGATGATGTACGTAACAGATTCAAGCTGCCACCACAACTCAGGTAAACATGAATATGTGGGCCTGAACTGAGCTGAAAGGGATCTTGTCTGGGAATGATAGGGTCTGGATTCTACTGATACCATCATTGCTAAATATCTGGTTAATCTTCAGCTAATCAAATCCCTTTTGTAGATGTCACTTTTTTGAGCTACACAATAGAAACAGAAATGGCCTCTATACTTACAAAAGTCAAAATAAGTTTTCAGGCCAGAGTGCATTAAGGCCTTTCGCTTTAGGAAGTATGAATTGCTCTACAGATGGAAGATACTTAATTTTGCCCAAGCAACAGTTTATTAAGATCATCCTGGTGCCCTATTTCTCTGTTAAAGTCAAAGAGCCACCTTTACATTTTATTTTTAATTGTACATGGAACAGCTAAGGATAAGAAGATTAAAGAAAGAAAAAATAATGGAGATTTAAAAAAGCCACATCTTTGATCCCTCATTGTCTACTTCTTCTTTCAGCAATATTCCTTTCACTGTGGTTTGTCCATAGGTCAAGATTCATTCATTCATTCACTCAAATCATTCATCTTAGCAAAAACAATGTATCACATAATCTGATGTTGAACTATAATGGTTTCATCAGGTCATTCATTCACCCTGTTCACAATCAGTGAATTATTATCTCTTTCCTAGTAGTATTTTGGGATTACTTCTTGAGTCAAAGCTGGAAACTGAGCGGAAGTCTCTGGGAAAGACCCAAACCTCCTTAAGCTATACACCTCTTTTCCCCATCATGTTTTCCTTCTTTTAGTTTCCACCAAAATGTGCTCTTGGATTTTTCACATGGATGTATTATGTCCCTCAGCCCTATAAGTATTTGAAAATGGATCAAAATCTTAGTTTTAATGGAGGACATTTTTATGATGGACTCCTACAGCATCCATCAGAATATGTAAGATTATGAGGAATATCTTTCTGGGTTCCCAGATCTCATGCCACAGAGGCCCTTACTTATTCTGTCTATGTTTGAATTGTATTTGAAAAAAAAGAAAAAGAAAAAACAACCTAGGGCTAGCAAGATTGAAAAAAGATAAAAGACGAAAGAAGCCACAGGTTTACTGTGTTTGCTCTTCCAAAATATTCAAAAATGAAAAGATCCAAAATCAAATTCATATTTGCCTGGAATTTCATATCTATTACAGTGACTGCAGAGTGTATCTCACCATGGAAGTTGGAGCATGGCCTTGTGTAAGTTTCACATAGTTTTACTGTGTATGTGCCTATGTGAGAATAAACAACTGTGCATAAAATCTTGCTGTTGAGCCATGTGTGAATTAGCTGTGTGATGTTACCTCCCTGTTACTACCAGGCCAGTTTAGGATATTATTTCTGTATGTGGCGCCAGGATTAGGCCAATGACAGAAAAAGAAAGTGCTCTCCCTGCCAAACTTGCCAATAAAACTGTTCCACATATCCCAGACTCAGGGTTACCTAAACACCCCGTGTTTAAAGAGAACAAAAACAAAAGCCTCTGACATAGTCTTATTCCTTGCCAAATTCATCAGAAAGCTGAGGGATTCAAATTCCCCCAATATGAAACCCATATTTACATTATTTCTCTATTTTGATTACTTTTTTTTTTTTTTTTTTTTAAAGACTTTCTAAATAGTTTCCCGCTATCGAGGTTTCTGACAGGAAACATTCCTCATTATTTCCCCTTGGCCATTTGAAAAGGAATTTGTTCTTCCTTTTCCTCCATCTCTTAATACTACTACTACTAACAATAGTAACTAACAATAATAAGTACACTAGGGTTTTTTGTTTTGTTTTTAACTTAAGACATGCTTTCTTGCTCTGGATAGCAAAATGTGTTTCACAGAGGCATCTACTTAGATGGGGTGGGGATGACACAGTTGTTAATTCTGGCTGGTACCTCTTGCTTCTTCACGGCTGGGGCTACCCCGTGAGTGGCGGGAAGGTTGATTTGCTTTCCCCCCTTTTCTTTTGCTCCTGGGTTCCTTCCCAGATGACGTGAAGGGCCATGAAACAAAGACCCTTTTCAGCTGTCGGTGTGCATGGAACTGGCTGCGGCTTCCTAGCTTGTCACATCTCCGGTCTGAAGATGATCAAATAATGAGCAACACATCCAGGTTATAGGGAACACGGGAAACACCCCACAGCTGGGTGTACCCCAGCCCCTCAGAGTGCACATTGGCGTTGTTTGTCCTAGTGGACTTCGGAGTAGGCCAGTGCCTTCTGGTCAGTTCCTCAGTGGTCCACATTCAGCTCTCAAAGGCAGAGCACGCTAATGGGAGGTCCAGGCTTCCGCCTGAGGCCACATACACCCGAAAAGCTCATCTGTTATAGCCTGATATGAAATCGGTTTCTTTCCGCAACTGACCTGACTCACAGAAGGTGAAGCCTGGCTTTTCATAAGTGAGGTTTGGCAGGCAAGGGAGGCAGGAAATCCAGAGGAGAATGAGCCTGTAAAGCATGGCTCCTTCCAGCCCTTGTTACTTCCTCTGCCCGGGTGTGGGGGAGGGTCCCGACTCTTGGCATCTGGGCCCAGCAAGGGTTCAGAGGTTTGGTAGTCTCTGCTTGGTCCATATGCAAAACACATGCATGTGTATACATTATTAATGGCACGGGGGTTCCTGAAACTGAGAGGGAGTAAGGAGACTTCTCATCTGCTCTTGGAAGAAGCAAGAAATGAAACCAGTTCAGTAGACTGATTCCTGAGGCTTTGGGGGCAGAAACTTTTTCTTTCTCCATATCCCCACGGAGATGGTTCATTTACCCTGAATTAAGATTTGGCCCTTCAGTGCAGTGCCAAGGCAGTTTATAGAGAAGAAAAGTAATTTCTGATCATTGACTAAGATCAAGGTAAATCATGACACTTACCCTTTCTACGATTTGCCCAGTGACATGTTTTCTTAAGCCCAGAAGTGATTTATTTATTTATTTATTTATTTATTTATTTATTTATTTAAGACAGAGTCTCGCTCTGTCGCCCAGGCTGGAGTGCAGTGGCCGGATCTCAGCTCACTGCAAGCTCCGCCTCCCGGGTTCACGCCATTCTCCTGCCTCAGCCTCCCGAGTAGCTGGGACTACAGGCGCCCGCCACCATGCCCGGCTAATTTTTTTGTATTTTTAGTAGAGACGGGGTTTCACCGTGTTAGCCAGGATGGCCTCGATCTCCTGACCTCGTGATCCGCCTGCCTCGGCCTCCCAAAGTGCTGGGATTACAGGCGTGAGCCACCGCGCCCGGTGTCCAGAAGTGATTTATTGATCACAGTAGCCAGAATATATCATACTGAAATAGATTGGCCTGCCACTGTCTTCTCAGGTCTCTCATGATGAAAGTGGCCTGCCTTAAAGTAGACTCAATGTGAATAGGTCTCCATGACCTCTGCCTCACTGCCTAGCACTCACATCCTCACCTACTCTTCCACTCTGGCTTCCCTGCTGTTCCTTCAATATGCCAGGCATGCTGGAACCCCGGGGCCTTTGCCCTGGCTGTTCCCTCTGCCTGTAACAGTAATTCCCAGAATCCACGCATGACTGATAGCCTCGCTTCCATTGAGTCTTGACGTTAGGAATGGGTATACATGTCTCTATATTGGGAAGCCACAATAAAAACTGATGGTAGAGATGCAAATATGAGCAGAATAACAGGGTGGGGGGAGGGGCAGGGAGAGAGGTCAGTGGAAGACTTGGCACAGTAGCCTCTTAAATGGCATAATAGCCCCTTAAATTTTTGGTTAGGAAATCATTCACATCCATAAGTATAGCAGGAAAATGAATCCCTGGAACCTGTTCCTTTACGTGGCAAAATGGACTTTGCAGATGTGATTAACTTAAGGGGCTTGAGGTGGGAGGATTTTTCCTGTTTTATCTCAGTAGGCTTGATGTCATTAAAAGGGTCCTTATAAGAGGGAAGGAAGCAAGAGTGTCAGAGTCAGAGAAAGAGACGAAATGACAGATGTAGAGGTTGGAATGATGTGGTCAGGAGCCAGGGAAAGCAGGGGGTATCTAGAAGCTGGAAAAGACATGGGAATAGGGCTTCCCCTAGATTCTCCGGAAGAAATGCAGCCCTATTGATATCTTGAGTTTGGTCCAGTGAGACTCATTTTAGACTTCTGACATTTGGAACTGTAATATAATGCCTTCATGTTATTCTTATTGCTGTTGTAACAAATAACCACAAACACAGTTCTACTAATTTCCTCCTCAAGGTAGCTTCTCAATTTTGCCAATACTGGTTACCAAACATACTTAAAGTTTGATTTTGAGTCTCTGACAACTCACATCCCTCTTAATCTGCTTTACTTTTTTCTTGACTTTGTATAGTGCTTATGTTCTGATACACTTTGTAATTTACTTATTGATGATGTTTATCATGGGCAGGGATTCTCAACTGTTTTGATATTTATTGATATATCTTAAACATTGAAAACACTGGCACATAGTTGATGCTCAATAAGTAATTGTTGACTCAATCAACAAAATGTACTAGAGCATACAAGATTTTCCCAATGTAACATAACTAGCAAGAGGCTGAACCAGGATTTGAACTCAAAATTCATTCCCTGAACCTTCTTCTAGTGGCCACATTGAGGAAGCAATTACCAGGGCTGTGTTCTCAACACAAGTATTCTCCTAACCACAGAATTAAAGGCTGGTGGCCCATGTATCAGTGTCTGTATTTATGAGCCCCTCTTTCAATCTCTTTCTTTTCATATTGTGTTGATACTGTAGCCTCTATTGGTCATTTTATTTTTTCGTTTCCCAAGACAGAATTATGTGGCTTTATCTTTAATGCTGCATTATCAATACTTATAATACATAATATTATGTATTACTCAATATTCGTGATTATTAGTGTTACTATTGGTTATTTAATAATGTTTAACTTACATTAGCAGTTGTTACTATTTTTATGATGCTAAATTACTAACAGCTAAAACAACTTCTATATTAAAAAGTATATTTGAGTGTCACTCAAGAGATAATGAGTACCTTACAAAGAAGAAATCTTGTTTCTTACCTTTGCGTCATTAAACAGATCAGGATTTGGAGAATTAAGCCCTAAGTAATCATGTTATTATTTTGATTTCGCCCCTTTTTTCCTTACAAAATGGAATACTTTGGTTATCAGAAGCCACTTTAAGCATTTATATATATATGTCATAATCCGAATAAAAATAGCATTCATGGAGGTTTCTTTCGGAGCTCTTGGTAAAACACTCCATCGTGGGTCTCTGTCAAGATATCTGAAAACTTTTTCTTGGCTTCTGACTTTGAACAAAGTTTCAGAGTAACAACAAGGCTTCATTGTGCACTGAAATTTCTGTAAGGCAACATTCATTCAAGTGTTGATCCGCATTTCACCATCCAAGAATAACAACAGTTATTTATATAATTTTATCCATGTTTCTGTTTTTTCCTATCCATTTCACCCTTTCACCCCACCCCTGCTGAAACACTGGAGCTTGTTTGGGATGGGGGTGGGGTGCCATGCAGACTATATACACATACAGATGTTTTTCTTTTTCTTTTCCTGGTCTTGCTATGGGATAGACAGATCAGACTTTTTCTTATTAACAATATTATTTAAAGGTTTGGAATTTATTATCATTTAATCATTTGTAAGTAATGAAGTAGGTCTCCATGATATGTTTATTGACCAGCGGTTAGCTTTATTCAAATTAGGGTGACCACAGAAGACCAAGGACTATGATATAATGTACAACCCTAAGTGGTTTGATTTAAATAAAAAGGAAGTCCAGGCATTTCAGCTAAAATCCCCACCAAAGGCCAACAACTAGATGGGCATCCATATGACTCACTGAAATTTTCTATGATCTTCAATGGCCATCTGAGTCCGTGAAACTATAGGACTAACTATTCAATCCTTATTGAGAAAACTTTGTTAATAGCTTGAATTGAGTTATATGGGATATGAATGTTCATATCTTTGTGATAATATATGCCACCCAAGCTACATAACCAGTTATGTTAGCTAAAATACACTAAGGTGTAAAAAATCATAGTTTTCTATTAAAGGAAGTCATGATTGTGCCTAGATTCTTCTAGTATGATATACAATTTTTTTTTTTTTTTTTTTTTTTTTTTTTTTTTTTTTTTGGTGACGGAGTCTCACTTTGTCGCCTAATCTGGAGTGCAGTGGCATGATGTCAGCTCACTGCAACCTCCCCCTCCTGAGTTCAAGCGATTCTCACGCCTCAGTCTCCCAAGTAGCTGGGATTACAGGCGCCCACCACTACACCTGGCTAATTTTTCTGAAATTTTAGTAGAGACTGGGTTTCACCATGTTGTCCAGGCTGGTCTTGAACTCCTGACCTCAGATGATCTGCCCACCTTGGCCTCCCAAAGTGCTGGGACTACAGGCATGAGCCACTGCGCCTGGCCGATATATAAATTTTTATATGGCTCCATGATCTTCTCTACATTTAATGACAGAACTGGTGGAGGGGAAGAAAGAGATAGGACTAAGCCAGAGATCGATATACATACCACTATACTTTGACCCCCAAAAAAAGGAGATTGACTGGTAGGGGAATTAATAGTATGCAGAAGAGCAAGGTGAGTCCGGTCACTGTCATTATTCAAAAACAATCTTTCAGGAGAAGAATTTTACAACTGGATTTGGGGCGGTGGGCAGATAAGTCACAGGAATGATTCTATTGTGTATCCTGAAGTCATCCATCCAGCTAGCAGTCACAGCTGCAGGCTGAAAAGACATTGCTCCTAGAGTGGGGAACTGCCAAAGTCTAGCCAGGATATTAGGTCAAGAGAAAAGACCTCAGGCACAGGGGAAGCCAGCTGCAGAATCTTAGAGGTGAGTTAGAGAAATACTGGGCTAAGCTGGGTCAACAAAAATAGACATACGGGAAGGAAGCAACTCAGTGGTACTTTGTCTCAGTTTGGGTTCTCCTAGAAGCAGGCTGTGAGCCTGTGATTTCAGTGCAAGTAGTTTATAGGGAAGGTGAAGGGAATACTGCTAGAGGAGTAGGAAAGTGAGGCAAAGGAGGGAAGGCATTGAACAAAGGGCATAATACCAAGACAGCTACAGTTGTGGGCAACTGAAGCTTAACCCTGCTGGAAAATTCTGGGAGCTTAGGCAGAATTTATCTCAGAGTTAGTCTACCTAGGGGTGAGGGAGCTGGGGTATTTACACTTCAACATCCCTAATGCTTCCAGTCTGCTGTGTGGGTGGTGACTCAGGCCCAGGACCAAGAAAAAACCACTGTCAGAGAAATGAAGGTATTGATAATTGAAAAGTTCACGTCCTTGTCAAACTTGTTTTGAGTCAGCAGACCGAGAGGTTCAGAGAGAACAACTAAAAGGGGGAGGGAAAGGCAAGAGGTGACAACTTATCTGCTGGGAAACACTTCCCACTTCTCCCATGCCCACCACCACCATCAATACTGCAATAGCAGGGCAAGAAGGAGTCTACAGGGGCAACAGTCATGTTAACACTTGTTACTGCAGTTGCAACCTCTTCTAGAATTTTCTACAAGGGCATTGGAAGGTTTCATGAGGTCAGGTGCAATAGCCAGGAGGAAACTGAGATCTGAGCAAAGAGAATATAATTAGGAATAAAGTCAAGGGACCCAGATTGGAACTCAAATACTGCTATTAGCTAGTTCTAATTTGAGGCAATTCATTTTGTATCTCTGTTTTTATTTTCTATGGGAATCATAGAGTATCAGTGTTACTTTCTAAGAGTCTTTTAAGGAAAAATCGTGATAATTTTGGCATACAAAACCCTTTGTAAATTATAGTGCACCATAAAAATGTTTTTAAAATTGTGATTAATTTGCATTGCCGGCTAAAAATAGTGTCAACTCTATTGCCTATACCTATAAACTGGCTTAAAAAGGGATATTTGAATATGAACACATTTTTTTTCCTTGAAACACATTTGTTTGTATAAACATAGCCTAAGATGTAAAATAAAATTTAGGTCACTGATTAAGACCACTAGTGTATAACATTTAGTCTAGAGTCCTACATTAAAATATGGAAAATATGCATGCAATTGACTTAATTGACTTATAGATGAATGAGGAGTGAACAGCCAATTGATTTGAAAAGGGTAACATTTTTCATTGAATGAATCATTGGAAAGATATTTCTAACTTTGGCAAATTTCTTGTTTTATGCATTTCTTATTTTAGGATGAAAAATTTTGAAACCAGTACTTTATCATTTTCTCCTGAGGAAAATTTTGGAGATGACAGTGGACTTGCTGCATATGTGGCTAAAGCGATAGACCCATCTATCAGCTGGGAAGATATCAAATGGCTGAGAAGACTGACGTCATTGCCAATTGTTGCAAAGGGCATTTTGAGAGGTTTGTTTATTTCTCTACTTGAATTCATACAGATTTTATGATCCTTTGTGGATATGGTCTTCATATTCTTAAAGGAAAATAACAAGGAAATATTAACATGGAAATTGAGAGAGATATTCCAACTCTCAATTCTCTCTTTTCATGTCAGTGAGTAAATATTTCTTCATTCTTAGGTAATATTCTGAAGTAGAGCTAAACTCTCATGAAGTAGAAAGTTAGCCTTTTCAAAGAATTGGGATGCCATTGCCTTATTTCAGAGCCATTACTGAATCATGAAGCCTGGCAAGATCTTGGTAGAACATCACGAGTTCATTGCTTTACCTGAAAGCTACAACAGCTGCTCTCGGACCAAAGAGAAACCCCAAGGAGATATTATGACAGACAGACTTGTTTTAAGAGCTTTCCCTCTTTTCCTTGTGTTCCCTCCAGTACAAATGGCTAGGACTAATTTTTGAGTGTGGTCAAACCCACATCACCTCTCTGAAGAGAATGGCTGACTAGTATGGTCAAATGCTCAATTATCAAGCCATGGGTAACAAGAAACTTAACTATTTCCTCCAGCATCCCCATATATTCAGATCCCACAGGGAGGTACCAATGACTATAATAATTTTGGAGTGTAAATGTGTTTACCCACAAAAATGTTTTCTTGCCTTTGAAAACATTTTTTTTTTTTTTTAGTGTGGTTATATAGATAACTGCCAAAAACTTTTTTCTTTTTTCTTTTTTTTTAACTGAAATGTTTGAGTAAGTGACTTTGGGATGAGAGTCTGTCCGTTAGTGTATGTCTATTAAATGACTTTGAATCAAAACTTTTTCATAGATTTTACTTGAACGTGTCTGAGTCATGTGGTCCCTATTTATAAAGTTCTACCTACTTTGACTATTTAATTTTATGTCTGAAGAAATGAGCTTATAAAAGTAAAAGAAATAAGCCCAGTGCAACATTTAAGTAGTGGAGATATGTTTAAATCCAGATGTTCTTATTCTGTGCTTAAACAAATTAAAGTAGTTTTTAAAATCGATATATAATAGTTGTACATATGCATAGAGCATATAGTGATGTTTCAATACCTGTAATGTATAGTAATCAGGTAATTAGCATATCTATCATCTCAAACATTATTCTGTACTTCTAAAAAAAATTGTTCACTGTTTCCTACTGATCATTGTACTAGTTCAAAATTTCTGTGGATTATACTTCAATGAATATGTATTGGTTTGGTTTACAGACACCTTTAAACAATGGTTTCACTTCCTTTACTTGCATCCGTGTTGTCATCCATGATTACTAGTGCTACTTACTGTGGCCGCATTCAACTGTGGGGACTAAATAATATTAACCTGAAGGTTCTGTACCATTCATTTATGTATTCATTCATCCATTCTCTTATTCACTCACTCATTCATTCCATAAATATCATAATTACTGTGTGCTAAAATATTTTTATAAAATAAAACAATCTTAGATCCTTGGATGAAAAGACAGTCTATTCTTGTAGGAGACAGATATATAAGCAAGCATTTTGGGTGCAATAAAATGTTATATAGAAATCTGTGCAATGTAAGGGCATGGCTTAAAAAAGAATATGGACAATAATATAAGAGTGAGTTAGAAAACACTTTTCAGAATGAAAGATGATGTTGAGTTTTGCCATGCAAGCGAATAGACTCTATTTCAGACTGAAGTACTGGCAGAATAAAGCAATTATGCATAACAATTTATAAAACATGTAAACCATTTAGAGAATATAGGCCTTAAAGTGGCTGAGAACCACTGAAGTGTCTTGATCAGAGAAGCAACCTCATCAAATAAGCATTTTACAGAAATAATGCTTTGCACAATGGACCTAATGGATGGAGGTGGCAAAATTGTGGTCAGGGAAGACATTTAGGAACTGTTGTTGCCCAGAAAAGAGATAATTGTAGAGATGACCTAGAGTAATAGCAGGGAGGGGACTGAGAAGGTATAATTAAATTAGAAAATTAAGACAGTTCATCACAGAGATGGCCCAGGGGATCTGGCTTTAAAACACTAGGGAAGAATAAAATTTTAGTCTTGTTCCATAATTGTTTCGAATAAGGAACAAAGGTCATTTTATTTTTTAACTACCTTTTCAATTTAGGATTTCCAGTGTATATCATTTTCTACAACTTTGTCCCCTAAGATATGATGTAAATCAATTGAATTAGATTTACTATCACATGTTATGTTGAAAAATATTTTGGTTTCTAGAACTTCATTCTGTTATCACTTTAGCTAGGACCACTGCCACTACCATCACCACCACCACCACTACCACAACCTCCATTACCAGGACAACCACCACCACTGCCACCACCACCACTGCTATCACCATTACCACTCCCATCACCACCATCACCACTCCCATTACCACCATGACCACCACCACCACCACCACCACCATAACCACAACCTCCGTCAACACCACCATTACCGGGAACAACCACCACCACTGCCACCATCACCACCACTACCATAACCACAACTACCATCAACACCACCATTACCAGGACAACCACCACCACCACCACCACCACCAATCCCATTATCACCATGACCACAGTCACCATCAACACCACCGTTACCAGGAACCACCATTCCACCACCAACACTATCACCACCACCACCACCACTACTCCCATCACCACCATGACCACCACCACGACCAGCACCATAACCACAACCACCATCAACACCACCATTACCAAGACAACCACCACCACCTGCACCACCACCACCACTATCACCACTACCACCACTACCACTCCCATCACCACCATGACCACCACTACCACTACCACCATCACCACCACTACCACCATCATCACCACCTCTCTTTTCTTCTCATCCATATGGATTTCTTGCTTGTTTCTAAATGTTTTTGTGACATTTTACACATAGTAGATAGTCCAAATATTTATTTACTGAACTTCTTGATGAAAACTATGAGTCTATCTAATTAGAGAAAGCTAAAAAAAAAAAAGGATAAGGAGAGATGGGACATTTGACATTTAAAGGGAAATAACTTATTTATACATGTACAGTTTACATTGTCTAGTTTTCTGTAACCATTTGGTTCTTTTATTTAACAAACAAGAATCATCTCTATGACAACAATTGCACCAAGTAACACATATGCTCAATTTGGATCAGAAGGGAGCGGTGGCAGGACCAGTTCTGGGAAATCCAATTTTCTCCATTTCACAGGTCCTCATCCAGAAATCACATGGGTTGACTAAGAGTCACCCATCCTCTTTCATTTTCCTTTTTCAGAAAAGTGCAGATTATATTTGCAGGAACATGAAGCCATGAGCAACTGTGAAGATCTAGACCAAACATCTGACTGTCCCACCATTTTAAGAATTATATTTTAATGAATGCAAATTGGAATGGAAGATGTAATCTCTTACTGTGTGTGGTTTAACTGACCTTAGAGAATGTCAACGCAAGCTCCTAACATGTACTTGAGACAGGATTTGGTCTTTGTCAGAACTCACACTAGCAAACAAATGGCTTTTTTGAGCAAAAGCATAGTGCTTTTTAGAGTTTTTTTCTTTTTCTTTTAATTTTTTTTGAATTAGGCTGTCTCACTTCCATTGTGGTTTTGTGTTTCTGAGAAACTTTTCTCTAGTCAGCTCTTCTTATACAGGCATACCTCAGAGACATTGTGGATTCAGTTCCAGACCACCACGGTAAAACAAGTCACATAAATTTTTTGTCTTCCCAGTGCCTATGAAAGTTATGTTTTTGCTATACTGTAATCTATTTTGTGCAATAGCGTTATGCCTAAAAAACAATATACCTTACTTAAAAAATAAGTTACTCCTAAAAAATGCTAATCATCATCTGAGCCTTCAGCAAGTTGTAGTCTTTTTGCTGGTGGAGGGTCTTTTCTGGGTGTCGATGGCTGCTGACTGAACAGGGTGGGGGTTGCTGAAGGTTTAGGGTGGCTGTGGTGACTTCTTAAAATAAGTCAAGGAAGTTTGATGCATTGATTAACTTTTACTTTTAGGAAAGATTTCTCCGTATCATGAGAAGCTATTTGATAGCATTTTACCCACAGTACAACTTTTTCAACATTGGAGTCAGTCCTCTCAAACTGCCGCTGCTTTATATGTGAAGTTTATGTAATATTCTAAATCCTTTGTTGTTATTTCAGCAATGTTCACAGCATCTTCACCAGGAGTTGATTCCATCCCAAGAAACCACTTTCTTTGCTCATCGATAAGAAGAAACTCTTCATTCATTTAAGTTTTATCACATGATTGCAGCAATTTAGTCACAGCTTCAGGCTCCACATCTAATTCAGTTCTGTTACTGTTTCTGCCACATCAGCAGTGACTTTCTTCACCGTAGTCTTGAGCTCCTCAAAGTCATCCATGAGGGCTGGAATCAACATCGTCCAAATTCCTGTTAATGTTGATATTTTGACCTCCTCCCACAAATCACAAATGTTCTTAATGGCATCTAGGATGATGAATCCTTTCCAAAAAGTTTTCAATTAATGTTGCTCAGATTCATCAGAGGAATCATTAACTATAGTATCTATAATCTTATGAAATGTATTTCTTAACTAATAAGACTTGAAAGTCAAAATTACTCCTTGATCCATGGGCTATGGAGTGCAGGTTGTGTTAACAGGCATAAAAACATTAATCTTTTTGTGTTTTTCCACCAGAGCTCATGAGTCACTAGGTGCATTGTCAGTGAGCAGTGATATTTTGAAAGAAATCTTTTTTTTTTTTCTGAGCAGCAGGTCTCGACAGTGGGTTTAACATATTTAGTTAACCATGCTGTAAACAGATGTGCAGTCATCCAGACTTTGTTGTTTTATTTATAGAGCACAGGCAGAGTAGATTTGGTAAAATTTTTGGATTATACTTTGAAGCCATGCATTGACTTCTCCTCTCTAGCTATGAAAGTCCTAGATGGCATCTTCTTCCAGTATGAGGAAGGCTTGTTTGGAAGAAGATGC